AATATATGTTTATGATCATTTAAGTTTGTACTTTTAAATTATCTAATTTAAAACTAAAATAAATATTCCCTGTTTATGTAATCTATATAAAAAGAGAGATGTGTCAGCCATTCTCATTATCGTTCTCTCAGCTCATTATTTTCCTAATGTGACACGCCCACGGAGAGCACGCGCTATTCAAACGCTAATAATCTGAAGCAACACATTGAGACATGTAAAACGCCCATACAAACTCTGTAAACACACTTTATTTAGTCAGATTAATGTACTGTCGTTTGGCGCGGCTGTGAGGAATAATCCTGGGACATTTACCTCAGAACAAGTGCTGGTTTATTTTCACTTCGAGGAGCGAGCTGAACTGTAAGTGTTTTATTCTTGTGCTTTGTTCTAATCGCGATATATAAGAACGTTTAGTGTCTGTAAACGCAAAAATAGCCTACTGTTTAAAATTGAATCATGTTTCTGTGTGTGTGTGTGTGTTTGACTAGTTTAGGATCGATTATAAAGTTTTAACTCTAAAATAGACATCAAATAAGCTTTTGTTAGCAGTTTCTGCTCATGTTAAATATATAGTATGTTTTGTCAAAAATAAACTTATCAACTGTTATAGTGTTTGTTCCAGCTAGGCTATATCAAAATAATGAATCCTTAACTTTGAAATATGTATAATAAAAAATTTATTGGCATACTTTAAAAAATAATACTTTATAAGAGATTTATGGAAAAAGACAATTTTCTTTTCAAGATGTTTCCAACTCTAACTTTGAACCAATTCTATTGAATGGCCCATATAACCTATTTGAACAGGATTTGTTTCCAGGTATGACTAAAAATGTGCTTTTGACTTTCATTTATATTTTGATTTTATATGTGTGTGTGATGTATATATATTTTCCTTGCATTCTTTCTTGTGACACACCTGAATGAAATGAATGCATCTTTGTCTTCTCAGGTGAGAATCACCTAATTATACATGAGGGGGTTGGGCCGTTCACGCCCATTCGCATATTGCCTTTCAAACAAAAAAAACTGTTTTTCACAATTTAAAGCAATCTATGGTGTTATGTGAATGATTAGAAAGGATGATTTTCAGATCATTTTGAAGCAAATACTCTAGGCCACAACTTCCATTAGTCAAAAGTCTTGTGGACACATATTTAGTATGTGTTTTGTGGCCTTATTTCAGAAACTTTAATTTTTAGTTTTATCAATAAACATGCCTAAACAATATTCTCTCAAAAATACAAACATGTACATACATGTTGCTTACATATTATGGTAGCCCTGTTTGTGCTAAATAGAGTGTAATTTCACGTGTGCCAGTAATATGTTTATAAGCAACTGAAAAAAGCACAAATGTCAGGGCATGTCAAAACATCCCAAGGACCCCAAAAACACCTTGGTCCCCAGAGGGTTAATAAACCCGTACTTCATTGTACCCTAGATATGTGGTTGGTTATGGCCATCTTGGACCTGTGTCAATTGAAACGGGCCCTTTTTTGAAAGCCTCCGTTCAATTACTAACACAGAGATGCATTTTCAAATGCTCCGTCTCCAAGGTTGGCCTGCAGCATTCGACCTGAAGGACAGTACTTCAGATCTCTATCCTTCCGCTCCACAGACCATTCTGTGTTCTTGCGTTCAAAGGTGCGAAGTATCAGTACAAGTCCTACCCTTCGAGTGCTCCATAGCCAGTTGGGTCTTCAGGTCAACTGGGAGAGAGTAATCTCGCCCACGGGCTGAGTATCTCTTTATCAGTTCAGGAGAAGGACTCGGTCCAACACGTTTCTTCAAGAAGAGTGTGTTCGGCTGGTGCTAGAAGTGAGAAAGGGTCCCACTGAAAGATCTTTCATAGGCTCCTGGGCTATATGGCAGATGCAGCCGCTTGACCTCCTCCATATGAAGACCGCTTCAGCACTAACTTTATGATCGAGTTCCAAGGTGACCATGGCAGAGCGGCACAGGGCGTGTGACAACAGATCACCCCGGCCTGCCGCCAAACCCTCAGCCCATGTTCAGACCTTCGTTCTCGGGACCAAACTGCTCCTAGAACGAGGTCCACTAACACCGACTGAGGGGCCACGTACAAAGGGTATGCTTTAACGGAGGCCTGGGCGACCTCCGACTGCATTGGTACTTATTACCTCGAGTTGGCAGTTCACCTCGCTTTGAGCCACCGCTGCTCAGCGAGCTGGTACTGGTCTGAAAAGACAACATCGCGACCGTTGCGCTAAGCTGTCGTCGCATGTCACAACTCGCCCGTCACCTCCTCCTTGGAGTCAGAAGCTTCTGAGGTCGCTTTATTCCTCTATTTTCTACCGGCCTACTCTATCGTGCCGCCGACGAGCCTCACGACAGCTATGGCCAGGGAGAGTGGAGACTCCATCCCCTGGTGGTCCAGCTGGGCAGGGACCACTTTGGGGCCGCACTGTTACATCTGTTGCCTCTCCGGACTCGTCCCTCTGCCAGTTGTGTTTCTGTCTGAGCAGACATCCCTTGGACAGACACTGGCTCTCAGCTGAAATGCGTTCCCCAGTGAGCCTTCTAAGAAAGCGACTATGCGATTTATTTTCGCTTGGCGCCTGCTCAAGTTCAGTGATTGTCATCACACTCAGGTGTTGAGCAGATATGCTCCTGATGCTCAGTGATCTTCACACTAGTGTTGAGCAGTGCTCCTGTCTTGTGCGCGGATGTCGCTTGCACCTACTGTGCTAAGTCAGGAGTGGAGCAGGTCTTGATAGTTGCCCCTTATTGGGCCAACCAGACCTAGTTCCCCTCGACAGCCTTCCTGACTTCCTCTGAATACATTTCAGGGACGGGGCATAATGGCACCCACGTTCAAAAAACTGGACGGGGAGGTTCAGGTGGCTACCACAAGGATATGTGGAAGTGACCATCACTTCTGCAAAGCACCCCCTTAAGATAAAGGCAGTTGTGCTTCGCTAAGTTAGAAGTGGAACCTATTCGTTGAATGAGTCTTCTCTCCGTGAGGAGATCCTGAGAGCGTTCGGTCATTTCAGTGCTCTCTTTCCTGCAAGTTGGGTTGGAGTAGGCTGTTCCTTCACCCTCAATATGATGACGAACATCATATGCAGAAGAATGGGAAGCACATCCTGATCGTCAGGTTCCTGAGAGAGCAAGGGTCATCCCTGCGCCCTTCTTTATCCTCTTGGGCCTATCTCCGGTGCTACTGCACTGCAGACACCGCCCCTGTGCCACTGCAGGCAGTGAGTTAAAAATTCTGTTTAAACAGTTCTCCTGCTTGCATGCTCGCTTCCGGTCAACGACTTGTGCCTGGAATTCGGGCCGGCTAACTCTCACAAGCTGAGACCCCGGCCTGGATATGTGCCCAAGGTTCCTACCTCTCCCTTAAACTGGGACCAGGCAGTGAGCCTGCAAGCTCAGACCCAGCCCTGGCTTTCTCTGTCCGTCCGCTTCATTGCGGTTATACGTGCACAGAAAGCAAGCCTTTTAATAGTACTCGAAGATGACAGGCTCTCTAAGCGTGATCCCAATCAGTCGACGTCTACGTTCCCTCCTTCAGGGAAAGAGGGTAACAAATATAACCGAGACGTTTCCGCACGTACTGCCATAGTAACCATAGTAACCTGTTGCTGTTTCGTTCAAACATTATGGACCATGGCAAGCAGACTTTGGGACAAAACGAGAACTAAAACGAGGATCAATATCAGCGTGGCGTTTTCTAGATGCCGAGAGCTCCACGTCTGTGACAAACTTTGACTTGACAGAGACGCCACTCTTGCATGTACTTTTATTAGACAGGTGAGCAAATGTACATAAAACTAATCAATGTTATATAGCTCAACATGATGAAATGTTAGAATATGATCAGTATGTTATTCTAATGTTGATCTAGCTTACTGCTAGTCTCGCTGGCAATTTCCACCAACTGCGGAACGGCTGCGGATCTGCTCCGGAACGGCTGCGGAGTCAATAGGTTTCCATTAAAGTCAATGTGTGTATTTTCACTGACTGCAGAACAGTTGCGTTCCGACTCGTCCCAGCTCCACCGATCCGCAGCCCACCGGAGCAGATACGCAGAGCTTCTATTTTTGCCGGAGAGCTCTGCAGCAATTCAGCACAGGGCAGATTGTTATATCACGCGAGATCTCGTGGGTCCTCGTGACTTCAGCTGTCAGTCATGGCCGGAGCCGTTCCGCAACAAATCCGGACCTGGTAGGAATTGGAGCACGCAGCCGACACGCAGTTGGTGGAAATCCGGGGTCATACAGACAAACTGACACATAGTATAACATTATAACTTTCAACACACTCAAATGCAATATAGTGTGATAGTGTAGACAGTGAAACAGCGCTGCGTTACCTCACAAGTTTCATTCGTGTAATAAACTGACCTGTGCGAGTATTAATTCAGCACTTGCGGGTATAGTTCAGTAGAATGAAATGTCCTAACGCATTCTCATCCTAGGGTGTCATATTTTGACATTCAAGTTATGACAGCCACCGTGTAAATTATTATATTTCAAAAATGAATTGGAGTAGAAAATTTAGCAAAAAGAAAAGTAGAAAAGGTAATGCAAAACCTGCCTTATTTGCAATTTTCAGTAAATGTGTTTTTTTTATTTGAGTGTTGGTTATATATAAATATAATTGAATAATTTAGGCTCTGTTGATAATTGTAACCTTTAAAATTATAGTAATGCATAATTAAGGGCTCTCCATATAGTTTACAGCATTGACTAAGATAGATTTTTTATCCTTAAGAAAATTGTAATTATAATAGAATTTATTTAAACATACAAATTTATATAAAAAAAAAAGTTTCATTAAATTTTTTTTTTTTAAATTTGTGTTTAGTTTACTCCCCCCCCACCCACCCACCCGACCCACCCCCCCACCAATACACACCCCCCACCTGCTGTACTGAACCTGTACCAAACTGTGACTTCAATACCGAGGTACGTACCTAACCATCATGTTTGTGTATCGTTACACCCCTAGTTAACAGATATTCTCACCTGTAGCTGCTTTTTGACCCGTTCATTTATCTGGGTCTCCGTGAGCCGTTCCTCCTCACTACGCTGGTGAGCAACTCCATCATTAGAGAGCTCAGCACTGGCTTCTGCACTGCTCTCATCCTGCTCGTCATGTTCGTTCTCCACTGCACCACCCGCTGGAACAGACATCACAGACTTCAGCTCCTCTTTGGTTTTTTCCAAATCTTCCAGAGCAGACAGTGCCTATGAGAAGTGAGAAATGCATCAACAAGCAAACAACGTTTTAACTGCACAGACACAGTAGTAAGTGGCAGGGAATCAGAGGGGAGAGAGCAATAGTCGGGTTCCGGAAGTAAAAACTTTTTTAAAATGCTAACTTATAAGCCTTTAAAGACAGCCCAACAGTGAGCTATAAGGTTGTTAATCTAAGGTATTTCCTTCAGTTGAAGCCATCAGCCCGTATTATTTCAGCTTATTTTTATAATAATCGTGTTAAATAAACAAATAACCTTTCACACCTGCGGGTAATAGATAGGTGTGTAGCACAAAGGACAAAGAGTTAGCAAAAAAATATTTTAAAAGGCAAGAATAATATTTAATTAATATTTTGCAAGTACAGATCGTGTGCGATCGATTTTCTTGTTTAAAAAAAATTAATCATGTTTAACATCAGAATTCATGGTAACATTACCCATGAAGCTGTACAGGAAATTTCACCAATCAGAGAGAAAGCAAAATACGCCAAAATAGCTCTTTAGCCTGCCCACTCTCATGAAGCACTGCTAAGGACGTAATTGAGTCGGTCTCCGTACACTCTAAAAATATTTTTTAATATTTGTATTAAAGTATTAGATTGACAGCACTAATTTGAAGTTTATTATAAATAAATAAATTAAATTAGGGGTGTAAATCGGACAGTTCATCACGATACGATACGGATTCTGTCAGCCAGCGATTCGATATTTGCCGATACCTCAAAAAATTCTGCGATACGATTACGATTCGATTCGATTCAGGGCTATATCAATCGATTTATCGATATTTAGACATTATGTGCCAAGTGTACACAACCAGTTACGTTTATTAACTCACAAATGCATCCAAAAATATATAACATGAAAGTTTAATTAAACTCTTTGAAAATTGCACACCCTCCCAATTGGGATATTTACAAGTTGTTTGTTACAAGTTACAAGTAAAAAAAAACATGATATATGAAAATGAACAAGAACGGAGTTATCTGTTTTTGCAAATGACCTCTATAACAGAAGAGTTCATTTGCAAAAACAGATAACTCCGTTCTTGTTCATTTGCATATATCATGTTTTTTTTTATTGTGCATTTAAATATCAATCAAACTGCAGCTGTTTTTTTTATTAAGTAATAATAACTAAAAAAAATACAGTTACTTTATTAAATTAGTTCATTGAAAGTATTTTTATATATATATTTTTTGTGTGTGTGTGTGGCAAAAGCAGATAACTCCACATTTCATGTTTCAGAGTTAAACAAAGCCAAGTAATTGCTATGATACATAATAAAACACTTGGTTAATCTTTGTAACGTTAATCTCCTCAGCTGACATAGACGCCTGTCAAACTTTGTTGTTGTGATTACCGTACACGCAATACAGAAAGCTTTTCCCTCACCACTAACGTTTTAGCTACTAACGTTTTAGCAAGATTCCGGGAAAAAGTTCAAGCTTTTATTTTCCTTTTACGCCCCGAAGAAGATATCATGGGTTCATCAAGTTCGTTGAGATCCATCCTCGATCACTTTTAATCAGCTTTGACGAAACTCTTCCCAGCTAGCGCGTCTTTTCAAAGTGACTAGCAGCCTTGTCACCTGACCTGAATACTGCGCACTGATTCGCTAAAACCAAGGGGGTAATCCATCAGCCGGAAACTGATGCTTGCCTGGGGGCCGCCATTGTAGCAGACCATCACCTGCTGTTAGCATTCCATTGACTCCGATTCATTTTGGCGTCACTTTGACAGCGAATAACTTTACATCTGCGGCATCCAAAGAGTCCATTTGTCCATTATTTATTTCTAAAGAAATACGACAATGCATAAAAGGCTCCATTACTTTGTATCTTACATTATGGCCCTGAAGAAGCCGTTTTTGTAAAAAATAGGCTAACGATTGCGTCATGACTCCGTTTGCAGTGCGTATGTGGTGGTGCGTATTTTCCCCCGCACCCATGTTAATAGGTTAGAGTGCTCACACACGCGGATGCGGTCCGGCAATGCGCTCCAGGAGCGGTGCGTGCATAACAGCAGAGCAGAGATCTACACAGTACCTCAACAACGCGACATAATGGATGTAGGCTAAAAATATTGATTTGAATATTGATTGTGGTACAGCCGTAGATCAGTTGCGCACTGCAAACGCAGCACACGTGAGAGCACAATAGCGCGTGCTGCTCCTGCATACACACCGCAAAACACACCGCATACGCACTACACACGGAGTATGTGTGAAACAGCCGTAACTCACGCAGCTGCATCTTCTAAATAATGCCGCGAGTGGGGCTTGAGGATGTGAAGTCGCCTGCGTCTGCGCAGTGCGATCTGATGCAGACCCTGAACTGAAGTGACACACGAAACAGAAATGCTGCATAATAATAATAATAACGCAAATAAACGAGACGAAATAACGTTAAATAACATTTCGTCTCGTCTCGTTTTGGTCAACGAAAATGAAGAGACATTTTAGCATAGTTTTTATTGTGTAAACCACATTTAGTCTCATTTTTATTCGCCAACAATATTGCATTATACATTTAATTATAGTCATCGTCACATGACCAGCATTTACGTTGCGTCTCGTCTCGTTTTCGTCACGTGTAAAAGGTTCGTTGACGACGATATTTAGTCATAATTTACGTTGACGAAAGCAACACTAGACCACAGAAAGATCCCATGCAGGAACCGACGGGGGGCGCGGAGGGTTCATCCTTCTAGCTCCTCTAAGGAAACAGATGACCAGCTCATTCTTTCCCAATGACTGGCCGTGCGGAGGTTCTGTGAACGCTGCAACGGCCGCCACATATACTTTGACCGTGGATGGGGACCTGCCCTTATCCAATAGCTCTTGTAAAAACACGAGCAGCCACGACACCCCACATTCCCGTGGGTCCAGATTTTTGTCGGTGCACCATTTAGAAAACACAGACCATTTAGACGCATAGAGCTTTCTGGTAGAAAGAGCTCCGGCATGCACGATCGTGTTTATTACTCCTTCTGGCAGAGCAACGGGTAGTCGTTGATCACCCACGCATGCAGCGACCAGCGCTCTGGGTGGGGATGCCAGATCGAGCCGCGAGCCTGAGAGAGGAGATCTGTTCTCACCGGAATGGGCCACGGGGCTGTCTGTGACAGCTGCGTAAGCTCCGGGAACCAAGCCTGATTCTCCCAACGCGGGGCTATGAGGAGCACCGAGTGGCGCGTTTCCCTGATTCTCTTTATTATTACCTGTGGTAACAATGAGACAGGCGGGAAGGCGTAAAGCGGGCGGCTGGGCCAGTCCTGGGCCAGCGCGTCCTCGCTCTTCGAGAAGAACACTGGGCAGTGAGCGTTGTCTTCTGACGCGAAAAGGTCGACATCCGCTCTGCCAAATAGGCGCCATAGTTTCTGGACTGTTTGGGGGTGCAGGGACCATTCCCCTGGTCCCTGCACAGTCTGTCCGGGCCGTCGTTCAGGTGGCCTGGCACGTGCGTCGCTCTCAGCGAGCGCAGGTGACGCTGAGACCAAACTAGTATGCGTTCTGCCAGATCGCAGAGGTTCCTGGATCAGACTCCGCCCTGACGGTTCAGATAGGACACCACGGACATGCTGTCAGAACGGACTAGGACGTGGTGTTCTCGTATAACTGGGAGAAAGCGCATAAGCGCGTTCTCGGCTGCTATCATTTCCAGACAGTTTATGTGAAGGAGCTTCTCCTGGTCTGACCATATGCCAAAAGCCGGTGTGCCCTCGCAGACCGCGCCCCAACCCGTGTTGGACGTGTCTGTCGAGACGACTTTCCGGTGTGAGATCGCCCCCATCATCACTCCCCGCTGATACCACTCGGCCACTTTCCAGGGCTTCAGAGCTAAAAATGCAGGTCTGAGTCACTCTGATTATCTGGCGGCCGGCGGCCCAAGCCCGGCGACACGCGCGAGTGTTGAGCCATCGTTGTAGCGGGCGCATGCGCAGTAACCCCAGCTCGAGTACTGCTGCGGCTGAGGCCATACAGCCTAACATTCTCTGAAATGTTTTCAGAGGAATGAGGCTGTTCATCTGAAAAGATGCGGCTAAGGGCTGTATACGGCGCGCGCGCCGTGTTGACAAGCGCGCCGTCATAGTCACCGAGTTCAGTTCTATTCCTAAAAAGGAAATCGCCTGACTGGGCTGTAATGAGCTCTTGGTCCAGTTGACCGAGAGACACAAGCATTTCATATGATTGAGGAGCGCTGTTTTGTGTGACAAAAGCTCCGTGTCTGATTGTGCCAAAATCAGCCAATCGTCCAGATAGTTCAGTATTTGCAAGCCCTGATTTCTCAGGGGGGCGAGAGCCGCGTCCATGCACTTCGTAAATGTACGGGGTGCTAAGGACAGGCCGAACGGGAGGACGGTGTATTAATAAACCTGGCCGTCGAAGGTGAATCTCAAGAATGGCCTGTGATGGGGAGTTATCTGAATCTGAAAATAAGCATCTTTCAGATCGAGAGATATAAACCAGTCCCCCTGGCGCACTTGCGCGAGGAGTTTCCTGATTGTCAGCATTTTGAACGGTCTTTTCACAAGCACTTTGTTCAAATGTCTCAGATCTAAGATGGGTCTGAGGCCACCGTCTTTCTTTGGTACAAGAAAATAACGGCTGTAAAACCCCGACTCGCTCAGAGAAGAAGGCGGCACCAGCTCTATAGCCCTTTTGCACAGCAGGTTTGCTATTTCTGCGTGAAGTAGATGTGCTACTTCTGAATTCACAGTAGTTTCGAGCCGCGCCCGAAAGCGTGGGGGGCGGCAATCGAATTGTAGCGAATAGCCCTGTTTTATTGTGCTTAACACCCATTTTGATACCCCTGGGATAGCTTCCCATGCTTTTATATGTGCCGCCAGGGGTTGAATGGCCTCCGGGCTCTGATTGCCACACTGTGTGTGTCTTACAGGCAGTACCGGAGGTGTGTGCGTGCGCTCGGTGTTTGAACACGGCGGCTCGCAGGCAGCAGTGACAAACTGATTTGTGAGTGACGACCCGATTACAGCGAATGGGGAGCGTTTTATGACTGCTTTGCAGTGCGCGAGCAGCGCCTCGGGCGAGGTGCCTTTCTGTAAGCGTGAGCGCGTGAGAGCGGGCACGGTGTTTACATGAATGTGTAGCGTCCCGAGCCTTCTGGATGGGGAGCGCGTTATTATAGCCTTGTGGCGAGCAGGCGACGCTTTGGGAGAAGCGTTTATTTGTAAGCGTGCGCGCTTGGGAGGGGGCACGAGACTTACATTCATACAAGTGTTTTCTGGCCGTGTGACAGAGCGGGCAAGGAGAGAGCGCGCGCATGGACTCGCGGGCGCGTCTTCTGACTTCACCACTCGAGCGGCTTGTGTCCGCTTTATGGGAGTGGGCTCTGTAAGTGACACGGGGAGTGTAATGCTTGTGTGTAGGGGTGAGCACTGAACTGTGGGCACATTTACTACACTTATATAGCACAGGCGGCAGCCTGCGGCAGCTGTCCGAGCGCGATCTAGGGCGGCCGCCCTGGCGTCGCTGCGAAGGCTGGCTGTGCTGAGCTGGGCGCTGTGAGGAGGCTCGTACAGGAGGCTGGTCACGTGAGCGGCCTGCAGAGGAGCTAGAGTGTCGAGGCAGGAATAGACTCATGGCTTGAGTGGTCTCCTGAACTTCGGAGAACCGTTCAACGCTCACCGCGGGGCCGAAGAGACCGGAGGGAGAGAGCGGCGCGTTGAGAAATGTGGCACGTTCAGATTCCCCCATGTTGGCGAGTGTCAGCCAGAGGTGCCTCTCTGTAACAGTCAGCGCGGCCATACATTTTCCCAGTGCTAGAGCTGCAGACTTTGTGGCGCGAAGGGACAGGTCCGTTGCGCTCCTCAAATCCGTGACAGCTTCTGGTTTCCTGCCTTTCCCTTCCCACTCACGAAGGAGGTCAGCCTGGAGGATCTGAAGGACGGCCATAGAGTGCAGAGCAGATGCAGCTTGACCGGCGGCGGCGTAGGCGCGGCCAATGAAAGCAGATGTTGTTCTGCAGGCCTTAGACGGGAGCACGGGCTTTGAGCGCCATCTCGCGGAGGGCGGGCAAAGGTGTGCTGCAACCGAGTCCTCGACAGGGGGAATAGCTGTATAGCCCTTCTCCGCGGCGCCGTCCACAGCAGAGAGTGACGCGGAGACGTGTGAGTGAATCCTGGCCGAGAAGGGCGCGCTCCACGATTTAGAAAGTTCGGCGTGGAGTTCCGGCAGGAAGGGCGCGGCCCGGGCCGCGGGCGCTGGGCGGCAGCGGCTTTGGAGGAAGCAGCCGTCGAGCCTGTTGGGCGCAGACTCCGTAGGCGGTGACCACTCGAGCCCGAGGCGGTCGACGGGCTGTGAGAGGAGGCGCATAAGCTCGTTCTCCACTCCAGCGCGGGTCCGGCCAGATTCTTGAATCGAGGAGGAAGCAGAGTGAGAGCCTGACCACTCCTCGCTGTCTGAAGCCAAGATAGAGCAACAGTCACGAGTGACGTTCTCTTCCGCCTCTTCATCCATCGTGACGGCGATGCGGCCACTCAGCGGCAATGGCGCGTCCGTGGGGGCCGGGGAAGGCGAAGGCGAAGCTTGAGGGAGAGGCTCCGGCGAGGCATTCACAGTAGTCGCGGGTTCCGGCGGCCTTTGTGAATGGCGTTTCTTCCTGCGCGATGCAACGAAAGGCGGCGCGGCGGCTTCGACGTTGAAACTCTGAAGTCGAGCCCGCAGGGTCGACAACGGGAGTTCTTCGCAGAGCTCGCATCCGCCGTCGGCGAGGCCAAGGGCTGCGTGTTCCTGGCCCAGGCAGAGAGCGCAGATCAGATGGCGGTCTCCTGCGCTGAGTGGGGCTCTGCACGAGCCGCAGGATGTGCGAGGCATCTTTAAAAAGACACTCGCTGCTCTTTTAGTAGTTCGCGCTGGCGTAGCTCGCACGGATGGCTGAAGGTGGCGAAGACGGCCGGCTTCTTCGAGCGCTGTCCTAAGCTCGCTAGATGCCCCTCAGACGGCGACGTGGCTTCTGTAGTGCAGCGATGCGGAGAGCTTCGCTGAAGAGATGAAAATCAGGGAAGCAGCCTCTGAACCTCGCTTATATACACATAGCCACGCCCATTCTGGCGGGCTGTGATGCCATGAGGGCGCAAGCGCCTCTCATTGGGCGTGACATCACGCCAGGTTCACTGATAGGCTGCTGCAGTTGCCGCAGAGCAGCCTATGAGCTCGCTAGATAGCCCGCTCTAGGTCTGGCAGCTGCTGCACTGCGTTGACAATAAATACAAAATTAAGGATAATTTTTGGCTTCAATATCTTGAAAAGATGAATCTTTCCCGTAGCGTAAGCTAGCTTACGCAATACGAGAGAACCTCTCGTAAGAGAACTTTCCTGCTTGAGAATTGCACCATTCTCATTGGTCAAACCAAAACTCAAAGGGACCTCTGTGGAACTTTAAAAGCCAAAACAAAGTTCCCTCCGCGTGCTCACTGGCTTCTGCTCCTGATTGCTGTTCACGTGAGACCTCATCCGGCCTCGCCGGGTGCGACCGCGCTGGCAGGCTCCACACACATCGAGCCATGTGTACCTTCCTCGACCATAACAAAGTCAACTAACTCATGTTTACCATTGCTTCTTCATTCAACGCGGAATAAATCGATCGAAACCTCATTACCATCGGACCAAACTAATCAAGACTTTCTCCTCGCGACTGTATATCCGGACACTCTTCAACAGCTAAGGCAAATGCAAGTAACGTACGATATACTAAATAGCTGTTTAGTTAGTCAAAGTTGTGAACCCCATTGTTAACAAAGGAGCTTTTTAGTAAGGGTATTAAGAGTTCTTCCAGGAGGCTAACTGATTCTTTTCATAGCTTCATTCCTCTATTCTGTTCCGGTTTTTCAGTCATTTTCACTTTCCATTCTACCTATGTATGTGTGACTGTGTGTATGTATTTGTTAGATTAGTTATGTGTTCGTGATCTGGTTATGTAAAACTTTTGTGTACATGTGCAATTGATTCTGGTCTGCTTAAATCAATGTAAATTTTAGGATTATGATCACAGCTACATGCTAAGAAAGACATTTTTCTGTGGCCATGGAAAATATCCTTTTCTAAAGAGTTGATAGATGATCAATATGGAGTGTTCGCTGGACAAACAGATTCATTGATTGTAATATTAAGTCAGTTACATGAATTTAATTATATTAAATTATCTAAATATTTATAATTAATTATAATGAGCTATGATTAATTATTCATATTTCCCTTTTGAGCTAATTTGCTACACCAAACACAAGAGGGCTAATTGGCTAACAAGACACATCTGGGAACAAATCAACAGGAAAAAAATAGCAAGGAATACAACACTCGGGACAGTAAAAAATATAAAAAATAAAACAAATCTTATCCAGAAAGAGGAAATGTGCAACAGGCACCATTTGGTTGCATTTTATTTATATTGTAGCATTTTGACATCATTTATTGATCTCCCATCAGTGGATTCCCTGTACATCCAGTTCTAAATACATGTAATACAAATACAAATAAATACATGCATGCTAAAAAAGATCATGGATAACCATCCCATCCAACACAAATAGTTTAATTGGTGGATTCCACAACCACCAAAACATCCAAATTAAATCACAGCTTCTTTCAAACAATTGTCAGGTTGCTTAACAAACTCTTAAAGTAACTGTATAATCCATGATAAATTGTATATTTATTTACACACAACAACATTTTAAGAATCTTAATTAATCAGATCTGGATGGGTAATGACCTTTGCAACAGTCTGCAATCCACTGCTGGCATTCAAATTCTCCATGAGGACAATCTGCATCATGTATGTGAAGTATGCATAAAAGGAAAATGTCTCTCTTACCTTATGCTGCCATTCTGTTGCCTCCTCTTCCTTTTTCCTCTTGGCATCCTCCAGCAGGGCGATTTTGGCAGTAAATTCCCCCAACTCAGCTGCCTGCAAACACCAAGCAGAGGAATGTTACAGCCCCTATACACATACTAGTCAAGTCAAGTCAAATTTATTTATATAGCGCTTTTTACAATACAGATTGTTACAAAGCAGCTTTACAGAGATAAACAGGAAAAAAATGCAACAAAGTTTGTTTCCAGAAGAAAATAGAGTCACAGTCCAGCTTAAGTAAGTTCAGTGATGTTTCATTTTTGTTGCAAAAAAGTTATTAATTTAGTTCATTTATATATATATAGCCGCTCTGGAGAAAACCTTGATGTCATCGTCCAGCTCAGATCTGTTCTCATATAATGGTGTCAATGCAGGCAGATCAAAATTATTGTTGAATATTAAATTACATGTTAAATTTAATGTCCCCAACTAAGCAAGCCAAAATCCAATGGCAACAAAGGTGAAAAAGGTGACAAAGGCGAAAAAGGCGACAGTGGCAAGGAACCAAAACTCCATTTTGGGGGGGGCAGTTCTCATCTGGCCAACGAACGAACAGTGTATGATCATGATTCAGGCAGCATTATAGGTCAGAAATCAGATTGGATTGGAACAATCAGAATACTATCCAGTTCCATCTGGTTGAAGATCGGAGTCATCACGCCGGTATGGAGACGGGTTTGTTGAGGATCAGTGCCGATGGCTGTCGTGTCGATGAGGCCTTCACAGGGAAGAGTCTAGTTGACAACCTCTGCTGACACTTCAGGGATGTGTACTACACATGATGTGCACACACTCATATACACAAACACACACTTATGCCGACACAACTATTTCAGTACAAGCTCATACCACTAATCTTAACCACATGCATTTGCCTCTGAGTGGTTATTGTTTTTATTACATTTTTCTTTTAACTACACTGAACAAAATTATAAACACAACACTTTTGTTTTTGCCCCCATTTTTCATGAGCTGAACTCAAAGATCTAAGACCTTTTCTATGTACACAAAAGGTCTATTTTTCTCAAATATTGTTCACAAATCTTTCTAAATTTGTGTTAGTGAGCACTTCTCCTTTGCCGAGATAATCCATCCACCTCACAGGTGTGGCATATCAAGATGCTGATTAGACAGCATGATTATTGCACAGGTGTGCCTTAGGCTGGCCACAATAAAAGGCCACTCTAAAATGTGCAGTTTTATCACACAGCACAATGCCACAGATGTCGCAAGTTTTGAGGGACCATGCAATTGACATGCTGACTGCAGGAATGTCCACCAGAGCTGTTGCCTGTGAATTGAATGTTAATTTCTCTACCATAAGCCGTCTCCAAAGGCGTTTCAGAGAATTTGGGAGTACATCCAACAGGCCTCACAACCACAGACCACGTGTAACCACACCAGCCCAGGACCTCCACATCCAGCATCTTCACCTCCAAGATCGTCTGAGACCAACCACCCTGACAGCTGCTGCAACAATCGGTTTGCATAACCAAACAATTTCTGCACAAACTGTCAGAAATCGTCTCAGGGAAGCTCATCTGCATGCTCGTCGTCCTCATCGGAGTCTCGACCTGACTGCAGTTCGTCGTTGTAACCGACTTGAGTGGGCAAATGCTCACATTCGATGGCGTCTGGCACTTTGGAGAGGTGTTCTCTTCACGGATGAATTCTGGTTTTCACTGTACAGGGCAGATGGCAGACAGCATGTATGGCGTCGTGTGGGTGAGCGGTTTGCGGATGTCAATGTTGTGGATCGAGTGGCCCATGGTGGCATGGGGTTATGTTATGGACAACGAACACAGGTGCATTTTATTGAAGGCATTTTGAATGCACAGAGATACCGTGACGAGATCCTGAGGCCCGTTGTTGTGCTATTCATCCACGACCATTACCTCATGTTGCAGCAGGATAATGCACGGCCCCATGTTGCAAGGATCTGTACACAATTCCTGGAAGCTGAAAACATCCCAGTTCTTGCATGGCCAGCATACTCACCGGACATGTCACCCATTGAGCATGTTTGGGATGCTCTGGATCGGCGTATACGACAGCGTGTTCCAGGTCCTGCCAATACTTCGCACAGCCATTGAAGAGGAGTGGACCAACATTCCACAGGCCACAATCAACAACCTGATCAACTCTATGCGAAGGAGATGAGTTGAACTGCGTGAGGCAAATGGTGGTCACACCAGATACTGACTCCTGAAATATGGAAGATGATCCAATATAGTCCATAATTTCAAGGTATGTCATAAGATTTAAAAAACCTTTTATTTGATGTACAGTTGCTGTGTCGTAAGACTATATTTGTGCTCTCTCTCTCTGATATTTCTCTGTCTGACTCTGTCTCTCTATGAATTCAGCAAAAAATTAAACATCCCTATACAGCCCCTAAAAATACTGTATTTTAAACTGCTGAGTTCGGTAATCAACTCTCAGGTTTGTTACCAAGCAACCATTGATGTTGTAACCGTCTCCCTATCCACTCCTAGTGAGACACGCTACAAGATCATTTTGAGGGAGGGACCCACAGACCAAAATTGTTTGAGAATATAAAGAGTGCAAAAACAGTTAAAAGAACAACCTCAATACACCAGTAGCATTGCTTTCAGTTTATATCAGACGGACCACATGAGAATATTCACATAAACACTTTGGCAAGCCGTTTTAACATTTAATCTTTTTAACCTACTAGTCTCTATTTCCATGCTATTTTTTTAGATACAAGTATCTATTACATTAAGAACTAGTACTTATTAGCTACTAGTGCTTATTCTTTAGGTACTAGTGCCTATTCTTTAGATACTAGTGCTTATTCTTTAGGAACTAGTACTTATTCATTAGATACTAGTACTTATTCATTAGATACTAGTCCTTATTTATTAGATACGAGTGCTTATTCATTAGTTACTAGTACTTATTCATTAGATTCTAGTGCCTATTAAATTGGTACTAGTGCTTATTCATTAGATACTAGTACTTATTCTTAGATACTAATACTTATTCATTAGATACTAGTACTTATTTCTATAGTGACTAGTAACTATTATTTTGTTACTAGTAACAAATCAATTTTTTTGCCATTGACGTCTATGGGGATCTGTCATTCAGATATCAACTATTCAGTTCTGACTAGTATGTATTCCAATAGGCTTTATGCACAGCTTCACTACTTCCTGAACTTCAGCCAGCCCTTTGTTTCCTGTCTGTCATTATTGGACAAACTGATTAATCCAGGTGTGCCTGATTATTGTTACTGAGGCCAGGCACACCTGGATTAATCAGTTTGTAGAGACTTTAAGGATGAACCAAACACAAATTAATCTTTCTAATCTCTCATGGGATTCATTCAAATGTGATTCAGCATTTCGGATCTGAATACCACATTCCAAAGTCACAAGACTGGCTCCAAATTGTCTAGAAAACCCCCCAGAGAAGACTTTTATGGCCCCAGACATAAGCCTAAACAGGAAGAACGTGTCACTGTTTTCATCCTTAAGCCAGACAAAGCTGCTCAAAAATGGTGAAACGAGGCCTGACCACCAAGGGGCCTGACAACCTTTGACCTCCCTCAGCATCACCATTGCTGAGCAGGACAGCGATGTAAAACAGACCACGCTTTCATGGAACGTGAGAGACTTACACAGACTTTACATATCAAACCCATTAAAACTCACGCAGAACAATGCTCCGTGGACTTATAATCAAACATCATAATTCTTGTTGTTCCTACAATTCATGTTTGTATTATGTGTAGATCACATATAAATCATGTAATTGTGATATAACTGTGTGTATGGATGAAAGAGTATCGTGCTTCCAATCAAAAGAATCGTATGCCCTTAATTCAAAAGGTGGCTTGTTTGAAATCTGTGTAAAATGTTTTGTATGATTATAATAATCTATAATGTTTAAACTGGGGTCTCTTGTTCTCTGCTAAGTGCTGGAACCCAAGCAGATCCCAGATAACGATAAGTAGGAACTCGATCCACCTCCTAAAATGATGCCATTGTCTCATTGGTCAGAATTCTCCAAAAGAGGTTGGACTAACTTTTAAGTTAAAGACCCGAACAAAGGACTTAGAGTTAGAGAAAAGAAAATTCGGTTCAGAGAGCAGTTCGGGGTTGCCGTTCGGTTTTGAGTTCGGTTCGGTGTTGAATTAAGTTTTGCGCCTCTCTCTAGCAACAGCAAGAGAGTGTTCCTGTTCGTGCTTCTCTCTGAAAACAACAAAGAGCGTGTTCGCACGCTTCTACATCGACCAGACCAAATTAGACCAGCAGACAAATAACCCATCGAGATCGGGGTTAAAACAGCTCATTCAAGCCATCTAACTCGTCTTACTTTCATTTCTTCCTTTATTTTCTTTTTCGTAAAAGTCTCGATTCAAAGTTAAGTTGCTGCGAAGTTCGTTTAAACGTCTCTCCTGCAACGCGCTTTGAACTGTAAAGACTCTTATTCGCCTGCCAATCACACGTGACCGGCTGTTCAGAAACTTCCATCCAGGCACTTCAAAGACAACCAGCCACACGGACCCGGCCGGGAAACCCCTTCGACGAAGCACCGCAAAAAGGGAATTCCCTAAGCAACGCAAAGACAAGCAAGTAACTTACTCCAGACTCTAACTGAACTGGTGCGTTAATGTAAATTGAATAACCTGTCTAAGAAACGAAGGTTTAAATTAATGCTTGGTGGTTCGTTCAGGTCATGTCTTACAAAGTGCATCTCACTCTGAAAACTCACTCTTTCTCTCTCTTCCTCTGCGCCTTGTATGAATGTGTGTGTGTGATTGTGTTTAGACCTTAGTTTTATGTGTTTAGAATAGTTAATAAAGTCGTCAATATATTTGAAAAGATATTTGCCTTGTGTTGTGCTTGCACATTTAATGTCTTGTACTGTCGATCTAAAGTTACCTTGCTAATACATAGTGTTTCACTATAGATTGGATATTTATATCTGTTGCCAAGGTTATAATTACGGCCCGTTCAAATGAACTCTAAACGAGTCATTTGCTCGGTTCCATAGTGATTCGGTCAAGATTCATTGCAAATCGA